ATCAAACTGAAACAAGCTCACAATAACCTGGCAAACATCACTAACCATAAGCAAAATGTAAATCAAAACCACACTTAGACACCATCTCATTCTAATTGGAATGAGTGTTACAAAAAAAGAAAAAAAAACATTGAAAGAAAGGGAAATGCTGGTCTGTTTCCAGAGACAGAGAGAGACACTCTTCTCCACGGTTCGTGAGAAGGTAAACTAGCACACACACTACAGAAACCACTTGGATGTTCTTCCAAACCTTAAAAGACTCCAATTACCATTTCAACCTGCAATCCTACTACTAGGAATACACTCAAAGTCATTGAAATCAGGACACCAAAGATAGATCTACCCACCCATGTGGATTCCAGCACTGTTCCCAAGAGCCAGTGTAAGCATCAACCTACCTGCTTATCCATAGACGAACGGAGAAAGAAACTGTTCCACATGTTCACACCGGGATACTCTTCAGACAGAAAACCACAATGAAATCATATCGTGGGGAACCACACGGTTGCACCTGGAGGACATGATGGTAAATTAAATGAGCAAAGGGGGAGAGAAACAAACCTTGAGTCATCTCACACATGCAGAATCTGAGAAACTCTATCTCAAACACCTGACGAGCACAATATTGGTTTCCTGAGATTGGGGGAAAAGAGGGGTAATGGGCATGGATTGTAAAAGGGTACAAAGTTACACATAAATGAGAGGAAGAAAATTCTGTTGTTCTAGTCCACTGCAGGGTGACCAGGGTTAACAGTATCAGCATATCACTTTCAAAGCAGCTTGACAGAATACTAAAGGTTCTCAGCATAAAGGAATAAACAATTGGAAAAGGTAACAGAAACACTAAGTACTCTGATTTCATCATTCCACAATGTATGCATGGACCGTAACGCCCCACTCTACCCTCTCGTTCTATTGTTTCTTTACTATGAAACACATTTGCTGAAAGAAATAGAAATAGGCACTGCTGATTCAGGTGGGACCATGAAGCGCCCTGAGTTTCATCCTCTGCAATCCTGAGACATCTAGACTACATCGGACACATCACATTTCCTGATTTCAAATTTCATGGAAAAGCTAGGGACCCGCTTCCACACAGAGCAGTGGAACACAAGAGAGGACCAAGAAGTAAAACCGCACACTGAAAACTATCTGATCTAACACAAGATCCACAAAAGTAAGCAAAGGGAAAAGGACACCCTATTCAATCAATGGTGTTCAAATAAGCAGCTAGTCACGTGCAGAAGAATAACACTCGGCCCCTACCTCTCACCAGACACAAAGAGGAACTCAAAATGAATAAAACATAAAAACGTAAAAACTCAAACTATTAAAATCTTACTAAAAACCTGTGAAATATCCTTCTCCACATAGGCTTTGGCAAAGCATTTAGATGGCTAAGTCCTGAAGAGCAACAGCAACAAACACAAACACTGACAAGTCAGACCGAATACCTGAATACCTGAAAGAGCTGCTGCACAGCAAGAGAGACTACAACAGAGTAAACAGACAGCAACAGAGAATGGGAGAACATGTTCCCAAACTGTGCATCTGACCAATGTCTAATATGCAGAATCTACAAGGACCTTCAACAAGTCAACCAGGAGAATAAACAGAAAAAGAATACCCATTAATAAACAGGCCAGGGATGTGAACACACACTTCTCAAAAGTCGATGTACAAGCAACTAACAAATAGGAAAACATGCTCAAACTCACTCATTACCAGAGAGCTGCCAATCAAAAGCATGATGAGATGCCATCCCTCGCAGGTCACAAGGGTGATGCCCACACAGACAAGGAACACATGCTGGTGAGGCAGCCGAAAAAACGAAATGCTGGTGCGTTTTGGTGGGGATGAAAACTAGTACAGACACCGGTGAAAGCAGACCGGGGATTTCTCAAAGAGCTGAAACCAGAACTACCATCTCCATCCAGTAAGCCCACTCCTGGGCATCTACCCAAAGGAAAATCAATCCTTCTATCCAAAAGACACAGGCACTCATACATTCATGGCAGTATTATTCACATTTTCAAAGACATGGAATCAACCTAGCCATCAACAGTGGATGAGAGGCTGGCACCGAGGCTCACACCTATAATTCTAGAACTTTGGGAAGCCGAGGCAGGTGGATCACTTCAGTCCAGAATTTGAGACCAGTCTGAGCAAAATGGTGAAATCCCATGTCTATAATACAAAAATTAGCTGGATGTGGTGGCGGTCACCTGTAGTCCTATCTAAGCCGGTGGCTGAGGTGGGAGGATCACCTGAGAACAGAAGGTAGAAACTGCAGACCACTGGAACTAAGGCCCAAATAGTAAACCAAACGCCACATGTTCTCACTTATAAGCGGGAGCTAAACTGTGAATAGACTCAAACATAAAGAGAACAACAGACACCGGGAATGACCACCAGACCAATCAAAAACAGGTGAGAGGGAGCGTGTGCTGAAGACCCACCCTGAGGGCCCTCTGCTCACTGCCTGGGTTATGGGGTTGTCGGGACCCCAAGTCTCAGCGTCATTCAATCAACAGATGTAACTAACTTGTATATGTACCCTTTAAACTATAATAATAAGAGTAGAAAGCACTAAAAGAAAAACCCAAGGTTAGAACCAAAGAAAATAATAAATGAAAAAACAATCTGTAGATATCTAAACAATCCATGACTGTCACAAACACAGAACGAGGACCTAAGTGACAGAATGAGGCAGCCAAATACTCTACCCAACATGATATGTAGGGAACACAGTTTTCAAAACCCCAAAAAGATACAATGGGAAAGTGAGAGTCTGGTTCAATTATTGATTTTGAGAAAACTGAATATCCACAGGAAAAACACTGAAATAGGACCCTTACAATGCACGACACACAAAATCAACACAAAATGAAGTAAAGACCTAAACTCAATTTTGAAAACTGTAAAGGTCCTATAATAAAACATAGAGTGGGTGTATATTTTAGGAAACCTTGTATCTATGCAAACAGGCTGCAAAAGGTAAAAAAGCATAACACTAAAAAAAAGGTAGGAAAACTACACCCATAGACAATGCAAGGCTTGGCTCCGTGTGTGTGAGTGTGTGGGTGCGCAAGCGTGCAGGCACACGCATGTTTGTGTGTTTCGTGGAAGTGGGGTGTTGAATACAAAAGTCACTGCTAATGTACGCAACTATAACCATGTGAGACTAGGTACACTTTATAAATTCTACAGGGAAAAGAAAACAATGAAACAAAAAAAGGAATCCTAAAGACTGGGAGAAAAGATAAAAAATCCTAACCCTGAAAGAGGTTATTATCTAACACAGACAATAAACTAATACGACTAAGTGAAAAACAACAAGAACAAAAACACAAATATCCAAGGTAAAAGGATCTAAATAGACCTGAGTGAAAAGAAAGCAGGAAATTGACCCACAGGTAACAGTTCCTCAATATCACTAATCCTCACAAAAACGTGAATCAAAACCATACTCAGTTACCATCTAATTCCACCTAGAATGAGTATTACAAAAGACAAAAATCAAAATTGTTGAAGGCAACGGTCAGTGTAGACTTGCAGAAAAAAAAAATCTTCTACACTCTTTGTGGAATGAAAGTTACTATACACACTACAAAAACTTTTGCCAAGTTCCTTAAAAAAGTAAAAGGTAGGCTGGGCGCGGTGGCTCACACCTGTAATCTCAGCACTTTTGGAGGCCGAGGCAGTTGGATCACCTGAGGTCAGGAGTTCAAGACCAGCCTCACCAATATGGTGAAATCCCGTCTCTATTGAAAATATAAAAATTAGCTAGGCGTGGTTGCAGGTGCCTGTATGCCCAGTCACTCTGGAGGCTTAAGCGGGAGAATGGCTTGAATGCAGGAAGTGGAGCTTGCATTGAGCCGAAATCGCGCCACTGCACTCCAGCCTGGGCGACAAGAGCAGGACTCCATCTTTAAAAAATAAAAAACTAAAGGTAAAAGTACAACTGCCACTCCAGCTAACAATCCCACCACTGGGTACACGTTTAGAGAAAATGAAATCCCTGTGTTATCTGCCTTTTCATGTATCCTGAAGCCCTAGTCACAAGAGCCAAGATGTGGAATCAACTTACCTGTCTATCCACAGATGAAGGGATAAAGGAACCACAGTACATGTACACAAGAAAACACACATCAGCTGTAACACTTCAGGAAATCATGTCATCTGCAACCACTTGGAGAAACCTGGAAGACAATTAGGTGAAATGAAACGAGTCTGCTAGGGAGAGACCCACGCTGCATGACATCAGACATACGAGGAAATATGTCTGATGTCATACAGGAAACTATTTTCCTGTATGAGGATGAGGCTAGGCAAGGTGGTTCATGTGTGTAATCCCAGCACCTTGGGAGGTTGAGGTGGCCAGATCATCTGAGGCCAGAAGTTGGAGACCAGCCTGGTGAATGTAGCAAAACCCCGCCTGTACTAAAAAATACAAAAATTAGCTGGGCATGATGGCACACACTTGTAATTCTAGCTACTTGGGTGGCAGAGGCACAAAAATCACTTGAACCTGGGAGACAAAGGTTGCAGGAAGCCAAGATCACGCCGCTGCACTCCAGCCTGGGCAACAGAGCGGAACTGTCTCAAAACAAACAGAAACAAAAACAAAAAAGTCCCAGTTAAGAAAAATGTCCCAGTATAAAACAGAAACAAAAACAAAAAAGTCCCAGTTAAGAAAAATGTCCCAGTATATTCTCTGCTTATGTGCCTTATTATAGACAAAACATTGAAGAAGATACAGCTAGCAGTGGCTCACGCCTGTAATCCCAGCACTTTGGGAGGCCCAGGTGGGTGGATCTCCAGGTCAGGAGATTGAGACCATCCTGGCCAACGGAAGACACCCAGTCTCTACTAAAAATACAAAAAAAAAAAAAAATTAGCCAAGTGTGGTGGCACGACCCATCTTCCCAGCCAGCCTCAGCCATCGAGGCTGAGGCAGGGAATCGCTTGAACCTGGGAGGTGGAGGTTGCATTCTAGCCTGGCGACAGAGCAAGACTCCATCCAAAAAAAGAAAAAAACAAAAGTGTAAATACACAATGTTAATATTAACATGGGGCCACAAACAGCCCTGAACATCTAAGGAATCCTGAGAAATACAAATCAATCCTGGAAGAATCACAATTCCTATATCAAATTGAGTTTCAAAGGTGTAGGTAGCCACATTCCAATACACATGGTCGTGGTGGATTTGCCACTGTGCTCCAGCTTGGGTGTGGGGGTGACTTGTCTCAAAAAGAAAAAGATTATTGGGCGGGAGTCACTCACGCCTGTAATCCCAGCACTTTGGGAGGCCGAGGCAGGCAGATCACGAGGTCAGGAGACCGAGACTATCCCATGCTAACACAGTGAAACCCCGCTTTCTACTAAAAATACAAAAAATCAGCCAGGCGTGGTGGCGGGTGCCTGTAGTCCCAGCTACTCTTGGAGGCTGAGGCAGGAAAACAGATGAACCTGGGAGGCGAGCCCAGTGAGCCGAGATCATGCCACTGCACTCCAGCCTGGGCAACAGAGCGCCAGGCTCTGTCTCACAAAAAAAAGAAAAGAAAAGAAAAAGATAGGGAGAAAATAGAGGAATCACTGAAGTGATAATTGATTGTTATCAAACACGAACACAGAAAAAAATACCAAACAGCATGAAAATGCATATCCAAACTAAAATTTGGGCAAAAATCCCAATAGACATTGCTGTATAAATGATACAAAAATGCACAAACATGTAAGAAAAAAGGTCCTCACATTATTCTTCATCAGAAAAGAATGTACTCCAAACCACATTCAGATACCATCCTACACATATCTACTGGAATACACATTACTGAAAATATCTAAAATTAAAAAGGCTGGGTGTGGATTTGGATAAAAGGGAAATCTTATACACCACTGCTGTAAAGATAATTTAGATACAATACTCACGGAAAAGTTGTAGGCCGGCAGGCGTGGCTGACGCCTGTAATCTCAGCACTCTGGGAGGCCGAGGCAGGCGGATCACCAGGTCAGGAATTCGAGACCATCCGGTTGAACAAGGTGAAACCCGCCTTCTGCTAAAAATACAAAAAATTAGCCGAGCGTGGTGGCATGTGCCTGTAGCCAACCTAGCTACTCATGAGGCAGCGAGGAAAATCGCTAAATCCGGGAGGTGGACGTTGCAGTGAGCCAAGATCACACCACTACACGCTAGCCTGGGTGACAGGGAGAGAGACCCCGTCTCCAAAAAAAAAAAAAAAAGGTGGTAGATTCTCTAAAACTGAAAACGCAACTACTATATGATCTAGCAATCCCACTACTGGGTATACCTCCAAAGCAAATGAAAACCGTATCAGAGATCACAAAGCCTCAATGGGGACAGGAGATTTTCATTAAATGGTTTTGAGAAACTGATGTTTATAAGGAAAAGAACGAAATAGGACCTCTTCTGGTATAGAATATACAAAAATCAACTCGAATGGATTGAAGGAGCTAAACACAAGACTCCGAAATTATAAATCATCATCAGACGCCTGTAAGAAAAACGTGTATGGCGGAGCCCTTAGTTTTGGGGCAACTGTATATAGGCTCACAGGTTGAAACGGGAAAAGAAAAAACGGGGAAAAAAAGAAAGGAGAGGGTAAAATTTTCGTTGAGAATGGAATACTTGTGAATATATTTATTTTTTAACAAAGCAAATCACAGGTAACAAAAAGCAAAAACAACTATGTGGGGCTACATCCAACTGGAACCGCTTGCACAGAAAGAAAAAACAGTGAACCAAATGAAAACCAATCCCACAAATGGGGAGAAAGTTTGGGGGAAGCATGTATCTCCTAAGGATGTTATAAAAATACTTAATACCTTCACATGCTCAACAGCAATAACAACAACAAGATCATCAACCCCAAAGTTGGCAGGGCCCAGCACAGACATTTCTGCACAGGGGACATAACACTGAGCAGCATGCACAGAACCAGGTCCTCAGCATCGCCATCACCACGGACAACTCCCCGTCAGGCTCGCACCTGGGTATTCCTCCCTCCCGGTCAGGTGGTCGTGCCCAGAGGGACAGAAGGGGACACAGGCTTCCCTGAAGGCCAGGGGTGGGGGATGAAAGAGTCCCAGACACGATGGCGGGAAGGCAAATTTAAAAATTCATCAAATCCTGGAGGCAGCTGGGATCTTTTCTCCTCTGTCTGAGGCCTGGCCAGGAGGCAGCCAAACACCAGGCCTGGCCCCAACTCCCACCTGGGCCGGGCTTCCCCTTCCTCCTGGGGCTTTCCTCTCTCCCCATCTATATGGGACAGGTTCCCTCAGAAAAAGTCCTCAAACCCCAAAAATACCACAGTCTGCTACACTTGCCACCCTCAAAAGCCCTCAGGGAACAAAACTCATGGTAAGACAAATACTAAAATACTAGAAGAGAAAGAGGAAAACTATTGAGAAGAAGAGAATACAGGGAACGTTCCAGAAAACAAGCTTCTGTACTCACCGTGTAGAAAAAAATGCCCGGGAGAAGCTGAATTGCACGTAGCCCCCACCTAGGCAGTCAGGGCCATAGACAGGAGCTGCTTGCTCCCCAGGACGAGTCTCCAAGTCGTTCCCAAATCGCAGCGGTGCCTTCTCAAGGGGGACCTGAAGGAGCCAGAGACGCTCTCCCCTTCTACTCAATATGGACGCCAGGCCACGCACACCACGCAGCGTCCTAGTTGAGAAAGCTCATGCGCACCACGTGGGGGCAGAAAAGGCTGCTTCAGCGCCCCCTGCCAGTCACAGTGCACAATTCAGGGTGATCAGCCTCATGGTCGGCATCACCCCAGGCCAGTCTAGGTAGGGTAGAAGGGTGGGTTGTGGGACACCAGGGAGCAGGAACTCCCCAACCTTTGCATGTGGACCTCCCCCTGTGAAGCTCCTTTTCTTTTTTTTTGGACAGGGTCTCACTCTGTCGCGCAGGATGAAGTACAGTGGTGCAATCACCGTTGACTGCAGCCTCAACCTCCCGGACCCAAGTGATTCTTCCATCTCAGCTTTCCAAGTACCTGCGAATCTGGGTGCTCATGTTGGGTGCATATGTATTCGGAATAAGTAAGTCTTCTTGTTGGAATGTACCCTTTGTAACTGTGTAACGGCCTTCATCATCCTACTTAATTTTGATTGTTTTAAAGTCTGTTCTATTTTATTTTAGAATAACAACTCCTAGCCAGGCACGGCGGCTCACGCCTGTAATCTCAGCACTTTGGGAAGCCAAGGCAGGTGGATCACCTGAGGTGAGGAGTGCAAGAGCAGCCTGGCCAACATGGTGAAGCCCCGTCGCTACTAAAAATACAAAAATTAGCTGGGCATGGTGGGACACACCTGTCATCTCAGCTACTCAGGAGGCTGTGCCAGGAGAACCGCTTGAACCCGGGAGGTGGACGTCACAGTGAGCCAAGATCACGCCACTGTGCTGCAGCCTGGGGGACAAAGCAAGACTCCGTTTCAGAAAGGAAGGAAAAAAAAAAAAAAAAAAAGAATAGCAACTCCCGGGCCAGGTGTAGTGGCTTATGCCTATAATCCCAACACTCTGGGTGGCCAAGACAGGTGGATCACTTGAGCTCAGGAGTTTGAGACCAGTATGGGCAACATGGTAAAAGTGCATCGCTACCAAAGAGTAGGAAACGTAGCCTGGTGTGGAGGTGTGCACCTGTAGTCCCAGCTACTGGAGAGGCTGAGGTGGGAGGATCACTTGAACCTAGAAGGTTGAGGCTGCAGTGAGCCATAATTACAACACTGTACTCCAACCTGGGCAACAGAGTGAGACACTGTCTCAATAAAAGAAAAAAAAAAATGAAGAAAAAAAGAATAGTGAGTCCTACTTTTTTTTTTTTTTTTTGGATTGCATGGCAGATATTTCTCCATCCCTTTACTTGGAGCCTGTGGATGTTGTCACGTGTGAGACAACTCTTGAATATGGTTGAGTCCTGTCTTTATATCCAGCATATCTCTGATCAAAGATGTAAATGCAAGACCTCAAACCTTAAGAGCTCTATGAAGAAGAAAATCTAGGAAATACTGTTCAGAACATCAGCCCGGAGGAAGAATTTACGACTATGTCCTCAAAAGCAACTGCAACCAAACCAAAAATTGACAATTGTGACCTAATTAAACTAAAGAGCTTCCACACAGGAAAAGAAACTCAACAGAGTAAACAGCCAACCTACAGAATGGGAAAAAATATTCACAAACTGCATCTGACAAAGGTCTAATATTCAGAATCTATAAGATACTTTAAACAAATCTGGAAGCAAAAAGCAAACAACCCTGTGAAAAACTGGGCAAAGGATGTGAACGGACATTTCTCAAAAGAACACATACAGTCACCCAGCAAACATAGGAAAAAATGTTTAACATCACTAATAATCAGAGTAATGAACATTGAAACCACCATGAGATACCATCTCACACCAGTCAGAATGGCTATCACCAAAAGAAAAAAATAACAGATGCTGGCAAGGCTATAGAGACAGGGGAACACTTACACCCTGTTGGTGTGATTGTAAATTTGTTCAGTCATAGTGGAAAGCAGTTTGAAGATTTTTCAAAGAACTTAGAGAAGAACCACCATTAAACCCAGCAATCCCATGACTGGGTATATCTGCAAAGGAAGATACATCATTCCAGAAAAAAAAAAGACACTTGCACCTGTATGTTCATCACGTGAAGGGACAAGTACTGAAAACCCACCTATTGCGTTGTACCTGGGTGCTGGGGAATCATTCATACCCCAAACCTTAGCATCGTACAATATCCCCACGTAACAAACATGCACATGTACCCCATGAATCTAAAGTGAAAGTTTTTGAAAATCTCATGGGATTCATTGGAGGAATTATCAAGTTGAGTCCATCCATGCCCCATTCAAAATCCATACCACATTCAAAGGAGAATGAAAGGAGGATACTGAAGGTTCTCACCACAAAGGAATAAACAATGGGAAAAGGCAACAGAAACACTAAATACCCTGATTTCATCATTCCACAACGTACGCATGGACCATAATGCCCCACTCTACCCTCTCATTGTATTGTTCTTTTACCGTCTCATTGTATTGTTCCTTTACCCTCTCATTGTATTGTTCCTTTACACTCTACCCTCTCATTGTATTGTTCCTAACACATTTGTTGAAAGAACTACAAATACATGATGCTAACATTCACATGGGACCATAAAGGGCCCTGAGTTTCATCCTCAGCAATCCTGAAACATCCAGACTACGTCGGATATATCACACTCCCCGATTTCAAATTTCATGGAAATGCTAGGGACCGCTTCCACACAGAGCAGTGGAATGCAAAAGAGGACCAAGAAGTAAACCCACACACTGAAAACTATCTGATCTAACACAGAATCCACAAAAGTAAGCAAAGGGAAAAGGACACCATATTCGACCAATGGTGCTGAAGTAAGCGGCTAGCCATGTGCAGAAGAATAACACCAGGCTTCCACCTCTCACCAGACACAAAGAGGAACTCAAGATGAATGAAAGATTTCAACATAAAAGCTCAAGCTGTTAAAATCTTACAAGAATATTTGTAAAATATCCTTCTCCACATAGGCTTTGGCAAAGCATTTAGATGGCTAAATCCTGAAGAGCAACGGCAATAAAAACAAAAATTGACAAGGCAGACCTAATATCTCAAAGAGGTGCTGCATAGCAAGAGAGACTACCAACAGAGTTAACAGACAGCGTACAGAATGGGAGAACACGTTCCCAAACTGTGCATCTGACCAATGTCCAACATGCAGAATCTACAAGGCCCTTCAACAAGTCAACCATGGGAATAAACAGAAAAAGAATATTCCATTAATAAAAGGGCAAGGGATGTGAACACACACTTCTCAAAAGTCGATGTGCAAGCAACCAACAAATAGGAAAACATGCTCAAACTCACTCATCAGAGAGCTGCCAATCAAAAGCATGACGAGATGGCATCCAATGCAGGTCACAAGGGTGAGGACCACACAGGCAAAGAACACACACTGGAGAGGCAGCTGAGGAAAGGAAACGCTGCTACGCTTTCAGGGGGATGAAAACTAGTACAGACACTGTTGAAAGCAGACCAGGGATTTCTCAAAGAGCTGAAAACAGAACTACCATCTCACCCAGTAAGCCCAGTCCTGTGCATCTACTCAAAGGAAAATCAATCCTTCTATCCGAAAGACACAGGCACTCGTATGTTCATGGCAGTGTTATTCACAATGTCAAAGACACGGAATCAACCTAGCCATCAACAGTGGATGAGAGGCCAGCACAGTGGCTCACAAATGCAATTCTAGAACTTTGGGAAGCCGAGGCAGGTGGATCGCTTCAGTTCAGAATTCAAGACCAGCCTGGGCAAAATGGTGAAATCCCATCTCTACAACTGTACAAAAATTAGCTGGATGTGGGGGCGGGCACCTGTAGTCCTATCTAACCCAGAGGCTGAGGTGGGAGGATCACCTGAGAACAGAAGATGGAAACTGCAGGTGACTGTCATAAGTGAACTGAGGCCCAAATAGAAAACCAAATGTCACGGGTTCTCATTTATAAGGAGAAGCTAAATTTTGAATGCACTGAAACATAAAAAAGAGAACAACAGACACCTGGAATGACCACTAGACCCCAAAAAAAAAAAAAAAAAAAAAAAAGGAGAGGGAGCGTGTGCTGAGGACCCACCCTGTTGGCCCTCTGCTTGCTGCCTGGGTTACGGGGTTGTTGGGACCCCAAGACTTAGCATCATACCATCAACAGATGGAACTAACTTGACTATGTACATTTTAAAATATAATAATGAGAGTAGAAAGCATGAAAAGAAAAATCCAAGGTAATGCTGGGCACTGTGGCTCATGCCTGTAATCCCAGAACTTTGGAAGGCCAAGGCGGGCAGATCACAAGGTCAGGAGTTCAAGAGCACCCTGGCCAATATGGTGAAACCCCGTCTCTACTAAAAATACAAAAACTAGCCAGGCATGGTGGCGGGCGCCTGTAGTCTGAGCTACTTGGGAGATTGAGGCAGGAGAACTGCTTGAACCCAGGAGGTGGAGGTCACAGTGAGCTGAGATCGCGCCACTGCACTCCGGCCTTGGCAACAGAGCAAGACTCCGTTAAAAAAAGGAAAAACAAAAACAAAACAAACAAAAAAAAATGAAAAGAAAAGAAAGAAAAAATCCAAGGTTAGAAGCAAAGGAAATAATAACTGAAAAAACAACCTGTAGTTATCCAAACAATCCATGACTGTCACAAACAAGAAACGATGACCTAAGGGACAGAATGAGGTAGCCAAATACCCAACATAACATGATATGTAGGGAACACACTTTTCTTTTCTTTTTTTTTTTGAGATGGAGTCTCGCTCTGTTGCCCAGGCTGGAGTGCAGTGGCGCGATCTCGGCTCACTGCAAGCTCCGCCTCCCAGGTTCATTCCAGTCTCCTGCCTCAGTCTCCCGAGTAGCTGGGACTACAGGCGCCCGCCACCCTGCCCGGCTAATTTTTTGTATTTTTACTACAGACAGGGTTTCACTGTGTTAGTCAGGATGGTCTCGATCTCCTGACGTCGTGATCTGCCTGCCTCGGCCTCCCAAAGTGCTGGGATTACAGGCGTGAGCCACTGTGCCTGGCCTTACTGAGCACATTTGTTAAAAGAACACAATGGGGAAGAGAGAGTCTGTTTAATAAATCATTCTGAAAACTGAATATTCCTATGCAAAATAATGAAACAGAAACCTTATTGTGTAAAATATATAATAATGCACTCAGTAGTAATTAAAGACATATAATACAAAACCTGAAACCCTCTTCTATAAGACACAGGGTGTGGGTATATGTACGTCAACCTGGATCTACACTCACAGTTTACAAAACAACAAAGCTAAAAATGAGGGGAAAAAACCCTTATTAACACAGAGTGGCATGCTCATGATTTTCTTGTTCTTGATCAGTTACCAACATCACAGGCAAAAAAAATTATACACATGTGGGACTACATCAAATTCCATGTCTTGTGGGCAAGGAAGAAAACAATAAATAAAATTTTAAAAATCCAAAAAAAAAATGATAAGAAAGTATGGGAAAACATGCAGCTGATGAGCAGTTCTTTTCAAAAAAGTGTAAGCAACTGGCCGCGTATTGTGGCTCATGCCTGTAATCCCAGCACATTGGGAGGCTGAGGTGGGCAGATCAAGCTGAGGTCAGGAGTTCAAAACCAGCCTGGCCAATATGCTGAAACCCTGTCTCTACTAAAAATACAAAACTTAGCTGGGTGTGGTGGTGCATGCCTATAATCCCAGCTACATGGGAGGCTGAGGCAGGACAATCACCTGAACCCAGGAGGCAGAAGTTGCAGTGAGCCGAGACTGCACTACTGCACTCCAGCCTGGGCAACAGAGCAAAACTCCATCTCAAAAACAAAGAAACAGACAAAAAAACCAAAAAGCGTAAGCAACGAATACTACCAACAGGCAAAAAAATGAAACAAAACAAAATGAAAGAGAAACTACTGACCTAACCAACATTAGGAGAGGAACCTAAATAAACTTTTCAGCAAATAACACATAAAATAATAACAAGTTTACAAACACTTGGTTAAAATAACTAATCACAAAATGATGTAAACCAGAATAACTCAAATACCATGTCACTCTAACTAGAATGAATATTACCAAAAATGTAATACCTGAAAGACAAACACTGGTGAGGATTTCCAGAGTGGGGAAGTTTCATCCACAGTTGATAGGAATGTAAATTAGTGTACATGTCACTAAAACCAGTTGGATATTCCCTGAAAAATTAAAAACACAACCATCATTTTATCTATCTCTTTCAGGCTAACCACTCTCACGCTAAAATACATCAGAAACCACCAAAGACCCTGAATATGCAAAGCAATCCTAGAAAATACAAACTCCATTGCAGGCCTCACATTCCCTGATATCAAATTACTTTTAAGAGCTATCCTTATTTAAACAATGAAGTAGTGGCATAAAAATGGACATGCACCCACCTATGGACATAATTAGGCAGCCAAAAACTAAATGTAAATGAGTATGCAGTCAACACATTTTTCAAAAGAACACCTAAAAGACAAAACATTTGGAAATAGTCTATTCAATTAGTAATTCTGAATAAACTGGCAATCCACCTAAAAATGAAGTAGGACATTACTATTGCAAAACACACAAATATTACCTCGAAAGAAATAAAAGACCTCAACAAAAGTCCTGAAAGCATGAAACTCCCAAAGGAAGACACAGCCTGAGCTTAAGTTTAGGCAAACCCAAATGAATCTATGTTCACAGGATGTAAAAGCAAACAAGAATTAGGAAAAAAAAAAAATAGATGGAAAGTGCTCACTTTCAATAACATGAGTTGAAAGTTCTTATTTTCTTTTCCTGGACCTTAGCTAACAAAAATAATCACTGCAAACTTAAAAAAAAAAAAAAAAAGACGTAAACACACATACACATACACACACACACACACACACCCCTGAAGAAATACCGCGCAGTAACGAAAACAATGCACCAACCAACAATGAGAAGACATTCTTCTGACAGAAAGGACATGATGAGGAATCCTGTATCTGAAAGGGGTTGTTAACTGACATGCAGCGGAAACTAACACTACTAAGGAGCTAAACACAAAAACTCAAGTACCCCAGTCAAAACTGGGCTTAGACCCTGAAGGGACATTTCTGAAAAGATAGGAAATCCACTAGCAGGTAAAAAATTCGGTTCTCAATATCACTAGTCACCTCAAAACTGTAAATAAAAATCACACTCAGATACCAACTTACTCTAATTAGAATAAATATAACCAAATAAGAGACCACCATTTCATTTAGAAATTCCAATAGTGAGTATATGCTTAGTGAAAATGAAATCAGTATATTGAAGCAATAGGTTTACGGAAGCACTACTCACAGTAGCCAAGGTATGAAAATCAACCAAATCAACCTAACCTGTTCATCAACTGATAGAGCAATAAAGGAACTTCAGCACACAGACACAATGAAATACGCCTCATCCCTAAAAATTCACGGCCTGAGGTCATTTGCAGCAACCCAGATGATCCTGGAAGACATTAAGTTAAATGAAATCAGCTAGGCAGAGAAAGATAAACACTGTTATCTCATTTCAACCATATGGAAGCTAAAAGAAAGTATCTAATCGAAGGTGAAGGTACAATACTAGTTATCAGAGTCAGTGGGGAGGAGAGGGAATGGGTAGTCACTGGTAATGGGTGCAGAGCTGCGGTTCCAGGAGAGAAATGAATTCTGCTGATGCACTCCACAGCAGGGTGACTGGTGGTACCAATATAGCAACCTCTGTTTCAATATAGCTAGAAAGAAGGACACTGAAGGATCACAACACATAGAAATAAAAAGTACACATGGGAACAGACACGACAAACACCCTGATTTCATCATTCCTCAATGTACACAAGTAGGAAAAGATCTCACTGTGCCCCCTAATTTTGAACATGTATTACAAAACAAATTTTAAAATTAGAAATAAGCAGTACTAACATACACACAGAACCATCAAAGTCCCTAAAGATCCAAAGCAGTTCCCAGAAATATGAATGTGGCTGGAGGCCTAACTCTTCCCAATGTCAAATTATACTGAAAAGCTATAGTCATCTAAACAATACGGGAGTCATAAAAATAGAACCATTTGCCGATGGACACAATTTGGCAGCCAAGAAATGAACCTGAATGTGTAAGTCAACACATTTCTCAAAAAAGCCCCCAAAACACAAAATGGAAAATGGCTAGTCAATTCAGTAAATGATTTTGAGAAAACTGGAAATCCACATACAAAAGAATGAAATAAATTATTTGTGTTCCACGCCACACAAAAATCCCATTCAAAATTTTTTCAAAATCCAAACAGGACACTTGCAAGTATAAAACTTCCACGAGAAAACTTAGGGTGAGAATATGAATGTGGCTGAGGCCTCCACTCTTCCAATGTCAAATTATACTGAAAAGCAGAAGGTCTAAACAATACGGGAGTCATAAAAATAGAACCATTTGCCGATGGACACAATTTGGCAGCCAAGAAATGAACCTGAACAAGTCAACACATTTCTCAAAAAGCTCCCTATAAAATACAAATGGAAATGGCTAGTCAATTCAGTAAATGATTTTGAGAAAACTGGAAATCCAACATGTACAAAAGAATGAAATAAATTATTTGTGTTCCATCACCACACAAAATCCCATTCAAAATTTTTTTCAAAATCTAAAAGATATACTTGCAAGTAGCAAAAACTTCCACGAGAAAACTTAGGGTGAGCATTACTTTTGGGAAACCTGAACCTACACGCATGTGCAAATAGAAAAGAAGATGCAAATAGAAAAGAAGATGAAAGAAACACAGAAGGAAAACACTGCCACAGGAATGAATCCCAAATTAATTTTTCTTCTGATTGACAAAAATCACTACCAACAAAAGGAAAATTAAACGCGTCAGAACACAAAAAACTGAAGAGCTTCTTCACAGGAATTTTTTTAAATGAAGCAAAACAGCAGGCCTCCTATAAACTGGGAGAAAATAAGAAATCATATATCTGAGGAAGGTTCATATTGAATATTCACCAGAAACAAAGTTATTTTTCAAGGAAGAAAAACTCTCTCCTCTCTCTCCTCCCACCTCCAAAATCGGGCAAATAACCTTAAAGGTCACTTCTGGGTAAGGACACATGAAACTAACAGGTAAAGTGCAGTTCTCCACATTACTGTCCCCTAAAATACCTCAACAACACTGGAGCCCTACCTGTCACCACACAAAAAATTAACTCAAGATGAATGAAAGAGTTCAATGGAAGACCTCAAAACTACAAAATCCTACAATAGTAAAACCTGGAAAATAATCTTCTTCACATGGGCTTTCCCAAAGCATTTATATGGCTCAGCCTCCAAAAGCAATTCAAGAAGCAAAATGCGCACGCTTGGCCCAAAGATCCACAGAGCTGGGGCACAGAAAAGAACCTGACAGCAGAGTAAAAACATACAGCCACATGGACGGGAGAAAATGCTCCCACACTATGCAGGACTGAGCAACTACAACAAAAGCCAAAATCTACAACAAGGACCTTAAGTCAGTCAAGACGCAGAAAAGCAAAAAAAAGAAAAGATAAAAACCCCACAATGAAACAAACCCAAATAATGTAAATGGAAGGGAAAAAAATGAAAATGGAATATAATGAAAGAGCTCTTCCTGCTGAGGGACGGTGGCAGGGAAGTGGCCAAGGGGCACGAGGCTGGATATATCAAGCTGGCTGCCCCAGACATGAGTCCCTGTGACCCTGGATTCCTCTCCCCTGACCTGAGTCTCCAGAAGTCGCAAGCGCCTTCCCCCAGGACCCTCAAACTTGCTGGGCTCACATCAAGCACCTGGCCTGGGTCTTCCCTGCCCACATCGACCCTCACTGCCAATGTCTCTTCCTAAGGGAGCCTCCCCCAGCCCCCATCCCAAGCTCATGGAGCTCAGCTCTGGGGATTACAGCAGCCCACAGTGGCCCCGGGGCTGTCTCTGTGGGACTGTTGGATGCCACTCACCACTGAGCTCAGACAGCAGGAGAGCAGAAGCTTGGACAGGGCCTTCCCAGCAATGGAAAGCCAGGGGAGGGTGCTCTGGATGATCTGGTCCCCACAGCTCCTCCAGAGGGGGATGCCCTTGCCAGTGTGGGCACTGGGCCCGCTCTGTCCAACGGCCCTGCCCACCCTGGTGGGACATGGAGCCTGGAGTTCTTGGCTGGGTAGATGCGTAAGAGGATGAGGGGTGCTCTTCCCAGCCTGTGCGGCAGGCACCAGGGCTGTGGGCAGTACTGTCCAGTTTGCCTCTATCTCTCAGCCAGGTGAGGGAGGAGCAGAGGGAAACCCCCAGATTCTTCAGATCCTGCCTGCTTGGCCTTTGGAGCAGGCTAGAGGTGGGACCTGGGGCCTCATCCTCCAAGCGCTGACTGCAGACTGACTCTGCCGTATCATGGCAGCATCCTCTCTCTTCTCTCAGCACAGTCACTCCTTCTCCAACAGCATTGGCAGGGCCTTGTCTTGGCACAGAGCTCACTCAGGTCCATCTCCTGCAGCCTCTCTCATGGTTGCCAGATGTGGTCTCCATCCTGGCCCTTGAGGGTCCACTGCACAGCTGGGTGCAGGCTTCAGGCCCAAGGAATGGAATTCAGAGGAAATGGTTTGTGGACACAGGGTCTTGAGAGACGTGGGTCTGTCCCTGCCTGGGGACTGCATCGTGGAAGGCCTCAACTGGGTGAGAAGGGACCCAGAGATGCACCTGCCTTCTTTCTTAGCTTGCAGTTCTCCAAGTCCCATCTGTGCTTAGCCCACAAGCAGCAGAGGTGCAGATAGGCCCAAGTACAGGCGGCTACAGGTCAGTAGGTGCCAGGGAGTTCAGCTGGGAGGCGGGGAGAGTGACAGCCAAGGATGGGCAGTGGCTAGGACAGGAGCCTGGGACCTGGGCGGCCTCTCGACATCTCCATCCCTCCTCATCCTCATTTTGGAGGACAGAGGTACTAAGGTAGAAAGAAGGTACTGAGGCCCCAAAAGGAAAGTAAGGTGCAGAGGCCAGGCTTGGGTGACAGGAAGTGGCAGCTGTCTCAGCTGTTTTGGAAACATGGGAACTGGTTTCCCAGTCCTAAAGTGAGGGATGCTGGCCTCATGCCCTCTCAGGACCCTGCAGTGAGTGTGTGTGGCCAGATTCAGATGGCATGTGGCCTCTGCTGGCACTGTCTGGGAACAACAGAAAAGAGTACTGGAGAGTGGACATGGGAAGATTCTGTTAATTTCAAGAAAAGGGAACTTTCACAAGCGCCCATGGGGCCCTCCCAGGCCTGCCAGGCCGGCTCACAGCTCCAGGTGGGCACCCTAAGCATCTCAAAGCCACAGAACAGCCACAGCAACGTCCCCTGGGAAGCAGCACCACCTGCCACTTGCTTTGGCTGTGACCTGCATCTCAGGCCTGCTCTCTGTGCATCGTGGATGGAAAACAGCTGGGAAAGAGGCCACGCTCTCCTCCCGGGAGTATGGCCCAGTGGGAACTGCATTAGCCAGGCACTCACCAGCTGCCCGACCTGCTCAGGAAGAGCAGGGGCCACACGCCTGATCAAAGGCCTCTCCCCAACCCCTCTTCTCCCTTGGAGACCAGGACCCCGGAGTCGCTCTCTGGACATCTGGCCAATAACCCTGTGGACCCCAGAGCTTCTTTCAGCCCCTGCTGCGGCGCTTGTCGATCTCCACGCCTTCTCTGCTGCTTCCCTGCTTGACTTCAGCCTCACAGCACGTGGGGGGTGACCGGCATGAAGGGCAGGAAAAGGTCACCCCCTGCCTGAAGGTGAGGAGGAGGTCCCTAGGCAGGTGTGTACCTGCAGCACGGAGAGACCAGTGCTCACCAGGCCTAGAGCTTGGCATACTCAGGGGCCTGGGGGATGGGTTCACGGAGTCGGTTTGTGGAACAAGTGGGGCCTTGTCATAGCAGGGGATGGGGAGCTGTCCTGGGCTTGGCCTTCGGTCTGGTGGAGATGAACACCTCAGGCTGTGCAGTACCTGGCCCTCAGTCTGTCAGAGAGGAGTACCTCAGGCTGTGCAGCAGCTTCAGCGTCATCCAACACCACACTGCCCTGGCAACACCTGCCCACAGTGGCTTGGAGAAGATGTCCGTGTCAGCCCCTGGGCTGTATAAGTCAGTGGGCCAGCATCTGCCTGAGACAGGACTCCTGGGAGGGGCTGGCCATTGTCTCTCCTGACTCAGTTGCTTTCAGCTCCCTACTGTGCCATTGAGTGCTCTCAGGACAGATGCTTCCAGGACAGGTTCTTCTACACAAGAGGGCTTACCTCCTGGGCCTGGAGTCACAACATAGACAAGGATGCTTTTGGACACCTAGGCAGGGTCACTCTGCACATATCTCACGAATGAAAAATTATCATTAGAAAATGCATCAGCCTTCCTTGGTGACCCAATTGTCTCTAGGGAGGGCCTCACCTCTATCTCCCACTCCCCTCTCCATATGATACAAGAAATAGAAGCAACAGCATAAAAAAATGAAGAGGAAGAAGAAAATGATAAGAAGAAGAAAAACCAAACTGGAAAAAAGAAATAGAACAGGCAAGGGAATCAGGAGGCCTATTATACCTTTTGTCCCCTCCCCAATACATGAAATTTTAAAAAGTCCAAGACTATCCCAACACAAAACAAGCAAAAAGATACGCAAATAGTCACACCCAAGCTTTGTTAATAATGACACAATGGTGCCACTCACGCTTGGCTCAGGCCCCAGCAGGAGGAGGGCACCCTCCAGATTCTGCAGGAGAAGCAGGGAAGACTTCTTCCCCTGGCTGTGCCTGCATACAGCATTCACAGCTTTCTCCCCAGATAGCGCCCCCAACCCACTCCCCTCCGTGGGCAGTGATGCCCCAGATACCACACCCAATCAGCCCCCCAACACGGGCAGTAACGCCCTGGATAGGGCCCCCACCCCCACCCCACGGGGTTCCTGAAACCCTGGGCCCTGTCCCCGTCCCCCGGGGAAATTCTTGCCACTTTGGGACGCCCCCGTTTGGAGAGACACGCACCCTGGAGGGGAGCCAGGGAATCTAGGAACCCCCACCCCCAGCTCGGGCGCAGGAGCTGCTGGACAGGTACTGACCTCAGTCATGGGAATCCAGCCTCTTCTTTGGCCTCACCGCTTTTTTTCCGAATCTTGCCTCAACCTCTCCCTGGAACGCTGGGCGCCTGTCCCCGATCACCAGGAACTTCTTGCCGCTTTGAGGTGCCCCGCGGGGAGAGACACGCACCCTGAGTGGGAGCCAGGGACTTCACGACCCCTCCGGGTCGGGCGCGGGGGCTGCTGGGAAGAAAATGATCTCAAAAACTGCTGGGAAAATGACTCAGTCGGGAACTACAGCCTCTTTGACGCTCGCTGCTTTTCTTCACAGCCTTCACTCACTTCTCCTGGAAGTCCTGGGACGCCTGTCTCTGTCCCTGAGGACTTCTTGTCACTTTTGGGGTGCCCCCTGGAGGAAGAGAGACACGCACCCTGGAGTGGGAGCCAGGGACTTCATGACCCACTCGGCGTTCGGGAGGCGCGAGGCTGCTGGGAAGAAAATGATCTCAGTCGAGACCCCTCCGGGTCGGGCGCGGGGGCTGCTGGGAAGAAAATGATCTCAGTCCGGGAACTTCCAACCTCTTCAACCTCTACTACTTTTCTTCCACGACCCGCCTTAACCTCCTCCTGGAACCCTGGATGCCTGTCCCCGTCCCCCTGGGGACTTCTTGCCGCTTTGGGGTGCCCCCTGCAGGAGAGACACACACTCTGGGTGAGAACCAGGGACTCCAAGAACCCCCGCCCGGGTCGGGTGCAGGGGCTGCGGGAAAGGCACGGACCTCCGCCTGGAGACCCCAGCCTTTTCTTCAACCTCCCCGCTTTTTGTCCGCGGCCTGCCTCAACCTCTCCCTGGAACCGTGGCCACCTGTCCCCGTCCCCCGGGAATCTTCCTGCCGCTTTAGGGTGCCCCAGAGGGGGAGAGACACTCACCCTAGGTGGAAACCAGGGGACCAGCCCGGGTCACGCGCGAGGGCTGCGGAGAACGCACTGACCTCCGCGGTGAGAACCCAGCCTCTTCCTCGGCCTCGCCGCTTCTTTTCTTCGGTCTGCCTCAACCTTCCTCTGGAACCCTGGGCATCCTTTCCCGTCCCCCGGGGAACTTCCTGATGCTTTCGGGTGCCCCCGTGGGGAAAAACACGCGCCCTGGGTGGAATCCAGGGACTCCACGACCCCCCAGGTTCGGGCGAGGGGTGCCCCAGAAAGCACTGACGTCTGCTGTGAGAACCCAGCCTCTTCTTTGGCCTCGCCGCTTTTTTTCCGCGGCCTGCCTCAACCTCCCCCTGGAATCCTGGGCGCCTGTCCATGTACCCTGGAGACTTCTTGCCGCCTTATGCTTCTTGCCACTTCTTCCAAGTCTGTATCTACCTGCAATAGCTCATCTCTTCCACCTGGGAGGAAGGTCCCATCATCCTCTCTGTAGGAAAGAGGGCACTGATGCTTGGCAGAGCACTTCCTGGGGTCTCAAGGGTCTGCTCCAAACTCTTGCTCTCGCCCCTGTCACACACCAGGCACCCTGGCCGCACCTGCAAACTGCACTCCGAAGTGGCAGCCCTGCCCTTCCGGTGCCAGCCCCCTCTGCCTCAGAGACCCTAGTCCCCAAGCTCTCTGGAGTGGACGCCACTTCTCTGAATTCTAAATAGGTCCCCGTGGGGTACCTGGTGCTGCATCCACCGCTTCCACCAGCCTCCTGGTCTGGGTCCTGCTGAGTCTGGTCATTACTCACCTTCTGGTCAACCTGCCCTCCCCTGCAAGCTGCCCCCAGCTGCAGAGAAATGCCCCCTCCATGTCCCATTCCCTCCACCAAAAATAGCTGATGTCCTTTCTCCTGACCTCCTGGCCTCTCAGGAAGAGGCGGTGCTAGGCTGAGGGCCCTGGCAGTCTCTCTAGGTCCCCGTCCCCCACCTTTCAAAGGAGAGATAGGACAGAGGTGGCAGAAACTGTGGCTGGAGCAGGCTTCTGACTGGGTGCTGCTCCGGCTGTGACTCCTCACCTCTCAGAGCCGCATCTTCTATCTGCGAACAGGAGCCTGCAGCCCCTGAGGAGGTGGCATCTCTGCCCATGGGAAGTCAGATGCACTGAGTCCAGATGCAGGGAGGGTGCTCCAGCCTCAAGGGCGCAGGAGGAGCCTCCTGTCCTGGGAGGCCAGAGCTCAGCCCCAGCTCTGCCACCCTGAACTCCCAGCACTTCTGTAGCCTGGGCATCCTCACCTACAAGACGTGGTGAGGTGGATGGAGATCCCCAGGGTTTCTCTGTGGCCCTGGACAGGCAGCTGGTGTTGGGGACACGATTCACACCCTGTGGCGGACGGGAGCAGCAAATGTGCCTGCCCTCAGCGGCACTAGCTGTACTGTTTCATGCCCACACAACCCCAAGAGATGGGAGTCCTTACTGTCACCCTCTCATTCAGATGAGGAAGCAGTCACAGAGAGGCTGAGACACTTGCCCAAGGCCA